GAACTTTTCGAGCGTTTTGTTCAAATTTGTGAGAGAACTTGAACGTGAAGCACAGATGCAAGCTTTCATCCGCGGAAAGAAACTCCCGTAAACGTCTGAACAGGGTGCTTGGCTGGCATGGCCGGGAAGCCCTAAGCAGGCTCTGCACCGAGCTGCTCCTGCCCAGGAGGCTTCACTGAGGGCTCTCAGGGGCTGGGTGCTTCCCCTGCTTCCCCCTCTGCCTACACACACGTGTGCGGGCACACACACAGGCAGTGAGGTCCAGGAGAGAGCTTGGACATCCCTGCGGAGGCAGTGTCCGAGGTGGAGGAGACGGACAGTCCCGTCTCCCCTTCCGCCTGCTGGGAAGGCTCCTGGAGCGGGGACATGGCAGCCCTCAGCCTCGCTTGCCATCTGGGGCCCCGCGAACTGTGGCCGGGGGTCCCTCGCTCCCCACAGAGGTCCCTACAGCGGTGCAGCTGTCCAGCACACGTGGCAGGGGCGAGGGTGCAGCCAGCCCAGCGGGTGGCCTGGGAGCCTGCATCCGCACGCGCCGGCAGGGGATCGGGGAAGGGACTCTGCAGAGAGCTCAGTAACGATCCCCCAGGGCAATTAGCATGAGCAGGCTGGCTGGCGCAAGGCTTTCAGCCTTCCTTGCTAGGAAGCAGCGTCACGATGCACTACAACTCAAGCAAGGATGGTGAAGGCTTTGCCAACTCCAGCTTTGGAGAAGAGTCTCGTGGAAATCGTTTAACCCCTTAGAGTTCCAGGCACGCAAAGTGGTGCTTATCCACTGTTTTGGATCATGAAAAAACATCCACAGGCCACAATGCTTTCTGTTTGCAAACCAGCTAAAAATTAAGATAGACTTTGACTGTTCATTTGCTAATTTGATTTCACCCCCTTCTCTTTGTTTGCTCCCTGGCATGTGTGGGAACATATGTGTAGGGTTGGACATTCAGTTTCAGCTGAAAAATGCGCAGTTGTTTCATCCACAACGTTCTGATATCTTGTGGCTAAGCTGCGGTCCGTGGACCATAAACTGAGAAACATGAGAACAATACTGTATTGCACCGTGTGGGTGTAAAGAAACTAGTGAAATTACAGGAAACCCAGGCTGGCATATCTGAATGTGAATATACATCCTCATATGCCCCAGTGTAGCAGGGGGCCAGTTAAATCTTAGTTCAAGATTACCTTGAGTGTGCGGTCATGAAGTTGTTCCTTAGGAGTAATAACTATCAAAAGCGAAATGGTGTTTGTCAGGCACTTGTATCCAGCAACAACAGATTTAAAGAGAGATCCTTGAAGCTTTCACCCGTGGCGGTTGTAACCAAGTGTATTAACACCATGTAGGAACATCTGACTGGCAGAACTGAACAGCCGTCTAGGTAGGAAACCTCAAAAGGGTCTTGACTAAAAAGATAAACTGAAATTAAATCAATGGAAAGAGAGATTTTGTATTCTTTTCCTGAGCTCACCTTTCTGAAGTTGTGATGGAGACAGTCCCCATGTCTGCTAGCTGGGGCAGTTGTCTAGCTGCCCGAGCATGAGGCCAGGAGGGATTTCTGGGTATTTTGGCCCATGGACCAGCTCCCTCTGTAGTTGGCGTAGGTTATTCAGGACCTCCCTTTCAGTTTCCTCCTCAAAATAAAGCTGTTAATAGCACTTCTCTACCTCACTGGCATATTATGAAAGTTAATTAGTTAATGTCTGCAAAAGACTTTGAAAGTATAAAATGGTGCGTAAGTTGTAAGCGTTATGTTGTGAAGGCCTCCCTTTCCCTGGTCGGAAGGCAGAATGAGTTAAAGTTAGCCAAAGGGGGTAAGAGAAACAAGAGAGACTTTTATGAGTGTATCAGGGGAAAAGGAAACACTGGAGAGAAAATAGACCCATTAGCAAATGAGGAAGGAGATGAAGTTAATTATGATTTTAAAATGGATGAGCAATAGAACTGCTTTTTTTTTAAGAAAAAAAATCAATCTTTAACAAAAATAATAAGGACTGACAATTAGGAAGAAGCGAAGGCCTTGTGAAAACAGGTGTTTGATTAAAAAGCAAGGGGAAGAAAACTTGTAAAACATGAATATGTGTAAATGAGCAAGCCTAGATGAAACTCATCTTGAAGTCTTAAGAGCAATGCAAAACTAGTGCATTTTTTCCAAGTATTTACAAGTACTTTGGAAAAACTATGGCAGATGGAGAAGAGTCATATCAGAAAAGAAAAAGCAACAACGGCCACAATGAAGCTAATGATGTTTGGAAAAAATGATGCCAGTTGTTACCGCCAGGAAGTGTTCATGTGTGCTGACAGTGAGAGAGACAAGAGGAGCGGGCACGGGAGCCACGAAGTCCGTCGGTGAGAAGGCCACGCGACCCATGCTGGGCTCCACCACAGCACTGCAAAACACCGCAGTGAGAAGCCTAGCATGCATCAGGATGCATCCAGAGTGGCTGCTCTGCCTCTTATACACCAGCAGATCTATTTGTAACATCTGAACTTGAGTTAATCATTTGACAAAAATACCTTGCAAACTTATGTCTGAGAGAAGAAATCCAAATTGGCTTTGATAGGAAGGGTGTCATTTGGGCTGAAAATGGCAGTATGAGGCCGAAGAGACAGTGATCTGAAGACAAAAAATTAAAATAGAGTCTGGTTGTAAATATGTTATGATTTATTTCAGCATAAAGAATGATTAAGACATAATTATAAAAAGAAAAACAGGTTATTCTGTGAGCAGCAGAACTAGGGCACCCTGGTTCCCCGCGTGTATAGATGCCGTGGTCGCATTTACAGGTTTCTAATAAGCTCTGCCAGGCAGCCATGGCTTTCCTTCCCCCATTTGAGGCATTGCTAGTGTCGGCGCCCATGTCCCGTGCAGGTTTTCTCTGCAACAGCCACCACGAGGTGCAGGCAGGCTGCACCCCGCTGGGGGCACAGGGAGGGCTCTCGGGGAGGCTCTGTCCCTACCCGCTGGGGTCACTTTTGTGACACTCGCAGTAACCCACCGTGTCAGAGACCGACCTGTCCCAGCATTTCGAGGAGGGCGTGTGGAGAAGGTGATCACTTTTCCCATATCATTTTTATTGGGAACTCAGACCTAAAAATCTGGAGAAGGGATAAATACTTAGTGAAATGTGGAATGCTGCAAATGAACAAAATGTTCCAAGTTTTGAATGTCTGTCCCTGTCCTTTCGGTCTTGTTTCCAAAAAACTGCATGTGCATGGATGGAGTGCATCTAGATAATACCTATAATGATCTTATTTTCATACCTACTATAATCTACTGTTTTAGAAGAACTCCCAAAAAGGATGAACTGTTTTTCCAAGGAACTTCCATTCCCTTTCAGTATAAATGAGTATGGGAATGGGGAGTTTCTGTAGCTGATTATTTTGAGATATATTATTTAAAAAAAGACACTGTGTGCTGCTTCTCTGACTGCCAAACACATAAACCCAACTATGATCAATAAAACTGCTTCTTGCAGAGAATCAGGCATATGAAATTTCAGGCACGTTAAATTTGCCTAATGTAGAGAGGGGATCAAAACTATCTCACAATTAATGATATTCATCCTCTGGTATACTGCTAGCTCTGGAGAACCTGCTGAATACGGAAACAGTGTCTCCATGCCTTAGCGGGAGCTGAACGGGATACAAGCGCACTATTTCTCATCTGTAATCAGAAAGTATCACCAACTTAAGAGTTACATGGGGCATCCAGGAGTTTCTTCGATGAGGACAGAGGGCTGCAACTGTGTTTAAGGGCATGGAAATACTATCATGATGCTTCCTTTTCATCTCTATTTTTTATTCTTCTCTACCAGCTAGAACTTTCTGAGAAGCTTCTGACCCTATTAGATTTCACATTAAAAAAATATGTCCTACATGGTTTCACATCGGTAGAGAGGTCACAGCACACATGGACTTAGGAGCATAAATCCCCTTAAATAGCAGGAACTGTGTAAGTAACATCTCAGATACGGTTTTGAGAAAAGTGACATAGCATTTTTCATAGCTGTAAAGCTGGCTCACAGATGCATGGAAGTCTATGCAGAAATCTGCTGCCTTGTTTACCATCAGGATTACAAAGGCCAGAATGGGAAACGCTGGAGGAGCGGTGTGAAAACGCAGTCAGCATATGTTTTGTAAGAGTCAGAGAGGTCAGCTCCCCCTTATCACCACTCCTCTTCCCAATGCACTGGCGCTTTTGGAGTGGCAGCCTTACGGTGGGGAGGATTAATGCAGGCACAGAGCCAGGCCCTTCTCCTCTCCCCCAGCCGGCTCATGTGCTGGGGGAGCACCCACGCACCTCGACTACCACAGGGGCAGTTTTGACGGTGAGGACATGAATTGGAGTACATCCGACTCTTTCTGTGGTCTTGAGGATCCTGGTTCCCATCTATCTCTGGTTTTGCCTTCAGGTTTCCTTATTTCTTAATACCGCAGAATAGTATGTTCTGCATTCTCCGTGAGCCTGAAAAGCAACACAGATTTTATCATTTGGAATGTAGATATCTAATGCCCATTATGAGCCGACTAAATTTAGTAGAGTGGCAATTCACCAGACTACTAAATTTAGTTAGGCCATCCGGTCATATCATTTTACTTAGCTTCATATTAGATATCATAAGATAGGGCCTATCAAACAGTACGGCTCCAGCTTCCCTAGCTGCAGATTATATTATCACTATAGCTTTTCAAAGTATTCATGCTGACATTTTTAAAACCTTGAAATTTTTTAGTTTGTATATTTTGCTATAAGTTTTTAAAGATGGCCAAAATTCCTTTGATTTGCGCTGAAAAGATTACAGTTCAAAAAAAGAAAGATGCTACCACTTTCATTTGAAACAACATCTTTATATTTCCATGTAACATTTTGAATTAAATTTGAGTAGGATTAATTTTACTATCAAAGTGAGTAGAAAAGGTGGAGTTCGATATAAAGTGAAATTTTGCATGTTTTTCATTGCCTTCATGCATTTCTGGTTGCCACCTAATCTCAATTTTGTTCTAACAGGAAAAAAAAAGGCTTTATGAGAACACAAACAATTTGGAATGTGACAGCTAGAAGAAGTCCTCTTTGCTGTCAATTGAAGCTTGTCTCATGCACAATGAACGGGAGATCTTGGTAAGGATCCTTCACATAACAGCCAGAGTTATGGCTATGCAATGTTATATGACTAACAGAACTGCACGTGCCAAGTAACTGGCCCGGGTGTAATTCTCCCTTAGTAGGTAAAAATAAAATTGCAGTAGCAATATTCTGGGAGTCTATAGACTTAATCTTTGTTGGTAGGCCTTGAAAGGGAGCCAGTGTCTCTCCATCCTGAGTCAATCATTCCTGTAATTCCCTATCCAAGTAAGCTGAACTGAGATCATCTAGATGCTGGTCTTCATTTCTAATGAGCTCTCATGTTAAAACAGGAAATAATAACCTTGAAAGGGGAAAAAAATGGTCAAAAATCAGCCAGAGAACATTTAAAGGTTTGTTCCGAACAAGCAGGGCTAAGAAAAAGGCCTGAGAAAAGTGTGTCCTGGGATCACTCACAGTTAAAGCACTGATTAATTAAGCAGAGGGTCATTCTTCCGAAAGAAGCAAGGCCAGTTTTGGCCCTGGGGCTGTAATTTGGACACTTCTGGAGTTCTAGATACACTGAGCTTTTCTGTGGCGGCTCGGTGAATATGCACATTCTTCTGGCTGAACAATGGCATCTTTATTCAAATGTGAGCCACTAAGTAAGTGGCTGTCTCCTAATATGGGTGGTATTTCTTCCTGCTCTGCCTCAATCCTGCTGCTTTCCCATTGCCTTATCAGTGTGCTTTGTAGAACAACTTACAAAATGAAATCTATTCATAACACTAAAACCTTCCTCCTTTTACAGACACAGAAAAAAGCCCCAAATGCTTACATAGCTTCCAATTCTATAGCAGGGTGTTTACTTCTTTAAATGCAATTCTGCTTATCTGACAGTGTTTTGGAAATCAATAAAATGGTTCCTAGCTTTTATTGTTTTGACTATGGGAAGGAAATTAATCCACAACTATTACAAGTGTTTGATCCAAATGAGCAGAGATAAATCTAATGTTTCAAGAACGGGCATGCCCTGTTTGTCAGCTGTCCTAGTGCACCTGACATATGTGATTTATTCTTCCCATGTTTAGAGGCAACACTGTCCAGGTAGATGATGCCCATTCATCTTGCTTTGTTTAGATATTTCTTTAGGGTAGCTTTATTTGTTATGCCTTAACTGCTGTTTCTTCTTACTCACTAGGTTCAGCTCTGCCAGAGGTTAGGACAGAGGTGGTTTTTCTGAAGAGACAAGGGTGTGGTGGAAATATTTCATGCCAGTTAAATATGAACCGAAACACTATCCCAATTACAAAACAGGCCGGAAAATAAAATTTAACCAGCAGAAGATCTGGATCCCACTTGTGCCCTCCCAGGACAGAGGGGAAAGGACTCCTGGAAACTGGGCACGCATGGTTCCCCTGGAGGTAGGGCTGGCTGTACGTGTGCAAAGGGGGCCTGGACTCCCCAAAATCCCCTCGGGGCACAGCAGTCGCAGCAGCAGTGTAGGATCACTAGCATTGCTGCATGGGGAAAACAAACGTCAAGGTTTATGCAACATTTCTTTTGGTGTTTGCAAAGAATAGGTACAGGAGGAAGGACAGAATGGCTCTCCTTCTGAAAAATTTGCTTCTGAAGTACTTGGTATTTTCAATAATTAATTGGGTGAGAGCAGACTAGCTGTGAAACTGTATTACAGAAATCTGAGTCTTACGTTATTACAGCCTGGGCTCTGATACCTGTATCAGATGGGTCAGCCCTGTCCCGAAGCCCACTGAAACTAGCAGAGCGTTGCTGGCTGCCGGAGGTAGAGGTACCAGTGTGGGGGGACCAGAGATGCTACATGTTTCTACCAAAACTGGAGGCCATACATTTTCAGCTGCCTCCACAAATATCACTTCCTAAAATATTTCTGAACATCTGTATAACCACCAAAAGATATTCCACAGAGCGCTGACTCAGTATTTCATCTGATTACAATTTAATGTGAAATAGAGCATCCTCAGAGTGGGGCCTGGCTCCCTTTTCCCCTGCGAGTGGCCCAGCAGCAAGTCCCTCTTTTCAGCAGGCATCTCCTCCTGTCCCCGGCCCCACGGGGCAGAGCCAGCAGGCGGCCCGGGGCGCTCCCACCCCATGGCTTGGCCACCATGCTGCTCTCTGGGGAGAAGACGGAGATGTGAGTTTTTACAAATCATATTCCTGTTACCAAAACCTCAGTGTCAACTGAAATACCTGGCAGTCTTCGAGATGGGGACAAAATGGGAGGAAAAACGGCTGCTGTTATTCTATGATCCCTCTGACTGGCGAAGCCGTGCGCCCCGCAGTCGTGGCAGGGGAGGACACCGAACACACCTGACTTGCCACATCTGCACGGGGAAGAGAGCTAGGAGCAAAGCCTCGAAGGAGTCTAGAGCACGTAAGTTTTGCATTAGTGATGAGCCAGAGCCAGTTACCCGCATTTAAGCAATACCAGGCTCTGGGGAAATTCAGATCCAGACCTGAACTACATGGCTTGGCAAAAGCCTATTCTTACCGTCACGTGTCTGACCTCTTGAAAATAACGTTAATTCAAAAGTTAAATGTGTTCAGTTGACAGTGATGGAGTATTTGTGTTAAGGAGGAGATTTTTCAATGGCACGAAATCGACTTACCAGTGGGTTACAAATGCCTCATTTATGTCCTTTAGAAGGCCCGAGTGCAGCAGGTTTGGGGAGGACACTCAACTGCAGGGAGGTGTTTGTTGCACTGGTGGGGGCTGCCGTGTGGAGAGCCAGGACACGACTTTGCAGATCAAAGATGCCCCACTAAAAGCATTGTATTTCCAAAGGGGATGCTGAAGGTTCGTGGTAGCTCTAGATGCTTTAAAAACAATTATTTAGGAAATTATTTCTACTGGTTTAATTTTCAAGAAGGCAGTTAGACCTGGCAGCCATGGACATATATGTTGTAACTGGCTTTGATGGGAGAAAGCAGCGTTGCCATAATTCTGCCCTTTCCTTTGCACACTACCCCGGCAGCTCACGATACCAGCATGTCAAAATGACATTCAATCTATATTACGCAGAGCGTATAAGAGCTTGTGTTTACATTGTGTCTCCTTTGCCCTTTTCAGTTTTGCTTTATTTCTTTTATAGTTTTGTAATTTAAGCAGTACATATTTTGGGATGTTTTCTCCATGCCTTGTCTAGCTTTATGGCTTGTTCTGGCTGAGGCATCCTTACATGATTTGATTTTGCAAGAAAGAGAATATAGGCAGCACATATGTATGTAATTGTTCCACAGTGAACTGATCTGTCTGGAGCACTGGGGGAAGATACGTATTAAACCTTTTTTCATGCTGTTTATGAGCAAAATAGCTAGATCTACTAATGATGCAAAATATTAGGAACCGCAACAATAAGGCTTACTCTAGTTAGAGGACGCATAGAAGTATAGTGGAGCCAGAGAAATGCTCATCAGAGTAATATTTTCATCAGAAACAGAATCTATCGTAACCAGGGGAGATAAGCATGAGTAGGCAAAATCAACTACGCTCAGAGCCAACATGCAGCAGCAGCTGCAAACTGTATGCTGCTGAGTTAAACCAGAAAAATCAAAGCCTGATTTTCCTACCAGGAAGAAGCTGTACTTATTAGGACTAGGTGTGAAGCAGGAGGCAGGTAGTGATGTCTCCCAAAATGTGGCCAGCGGCCCTCCCGTGCCAGGGCCCTAAGGACGCAGCGGGAAGCCAGGTGGACTGAGCACAGGATCCCGCCGTGGAGGATCTGCTCAGCCTTTACCACACAGAAATCCGAGAGGACTTCAGTACCTCCAAGCAGGGGAGCAGTGGAGATAACAGCCAAGAACTGAGGCTAATGTAGAGTAGCCAACCCTGTTTAACAGAGGGTGCATTGCAGTGGTATCAGCAACACAGAGTCAGTGCTGCAAGTGCTGCATACTAGAACTTATTTAAAGAGGCTATTGTAAAAGTCTTCGAGCCAGTTAATTACCAGTTTTTGTTATGTCAGGAACTCCTTGAGTTAAAGCAGAAAGAAACTATTCATGAATATGTTCCAGTTCTGTAGTTTAATGGGACAAATTTAAAAAAAAAAAAAAAGAGAGAGAGAGAGAAAGAAAGAAAAAGAGAGAAACTGATAAAATGATTTAGTTCATGGAAGGATTGAAAACCCTCGCAAAAAAAGCTGAAATTACATATTGTGCCCCATCTACTCTTGCATAAGCCATTGAATTTGCTGGGGACTTAATTGGACTAATCGCCCATTGCAGTTATGCATGAGACTTAGGGAGCGCCCAGGGTGCATACGGGCCAAGGCACCAGCCTATGAAAGACTATGGAGAGAAATTATCCAATAGCATTTTTTAAAAAAGCAGGTGCCCAGGTATGAAAAGCCAAGAGGCTTGGCTTGCATTTTAAAAGTATTATTGGCAAGTGAGGAATTTCATCTGACTTATTGAGTAGCATTTGAAAGATATGAAAAAAGGACAAGAGTGACTTTAGGGAAGAGAAAATTTTGTGGAAAACAAAAATCTATAGAAGACATAAATGCAGACTCGTTCCCTTCCTGCTTGCTTCAATTTCATTCCTCTGCACCTCCCTGTTTGCTGGGAAGTTACTGATACACCACAGTCACTGCAAGGGGATTCAGACTTAGAAATTCCATCTGATCAGAATAAGAATCATATCGCATGCTGCATATTGAGTCAAACAGCAGATACTGGAGTAAATGGGAGGCTGGAGTCCATATCATACTATTGGTATTCTTCAGAGGTCTACTTGCTGCCTTCCACTGTTCAGCACATCCGGAAATCACCAGCACATTACTTAATTGAGGTTTAAAAGCAACTCAAATCTAGAAACAAATCATAATTCTTAGCTCTGTTGAAAGTTAGAAGAATACTAGTTTTACTGAATGGGTGCTTTCTGGGAGTGTCTGAGTACCTCTGAAATGGCCTGTTGTATACACATGCGTCTCAGTTTCTTTTTTACAAAGATAGTTTGTTAGGAAATAAACATAACTCTTGGGGGAAAAACAAGTTTAGCATAGTAGAACACCCGTCTTCCTAACTCTTACCATGCTACAAACTGAAAACCTAGACCTGCCTATACATTTTAAAGGATGATTTTATGATTTTGCATGTGTAAAGCCTCATGTAGTGCAGAGGATACTGAACACAGTCGTCTCCCTTTTTATTACTGGCACCTCCTCAGACTTGGTAAACACCTCAGCTCTTGGCCTGTTGTAAGTCACTCAAAGCCCTACACCAAACTCACCTGAGGCAATTATACTACTGTGATGCAGAGCAGATCTGCCCTGCAGAGCTTGCTCACATATAGATCATGCCATTTTCCTCCCATCTTCCCGGGACTAGTTTCCCATTTGAAGGGCTGGTTTCCACTTCTCACTGCTCCCGCTCCCCTCCTCTGCCCCAGGCCTCTGCTCAGGCTGACAGAGCGCCTGTGCTGCCTGGTGAACATCTGGAGCCCGAGACACAAGGCTTTTCCTGTATTGGTCTTTAAAGGGCTAGCTTGGCCTTATTTTCAGTGGTTGGGATTAGCAGAGCTTGTGAGAACATATCTGGCCTGTCAGGCTTAACAGTCCACTCACCACCCCCACTCTCTTACATATATTTTAAAATAACTAATTAAAAGATAATGCCAGTGGAACCAAATACTGTCGCAAGATAAGGATCTCACACTGCTAGAGAAACGTTAAGTGGAGATGTTTATTTTCAAAGGGAAGAAACATTGATCACATGCCTAATCCTATAATTCTTAAACAAGTAAAGTTCCTGTAGATTTCAGTAGTGCCTGAGGTGACAACATCCTATTACTGTGGTAGTGTTTCTGGATACCAAATGACCATAAATGATACAGTCATTTTGTGCAATTGAGTCTGGGGCAGTGCTGGAACAGATGTTTCCCTTACCTTAATTAGCCTGTTGTATCTTCTAGGTTGGAGAACAAATTTTGCATGAGCCACATTGCTGAAGTTTAGACAATGTGTTTTAGATGTGCTTTAGGAAGCAGTGAGCTGTGGTTTGGATGAAGTTATCGACAGCTCATGAGGGTGATGCACAAGTCTGAGTTGCTCCTGCAGATTCCCTTCAGCACACTTGAGATCATCTCTGCTTAAACTAAATATGGCCTTTCCTCTGTCCTTCAGCTATTTCAGAAATAGGGATCACCTTAAATTTGCCTTTCAGAAATAAACCGCCTTCACCTCTCATGTTTCCAGTGGGGTGAAGGAGTCCAAATCAGCAGCAGGTGCATGTGTGTTAGCTGCTCTGGTGTAACTACCCCCGTACTGCTCTTTTGCTGTAAGAGATGTGAGATGAGTTGGGGTAGCCCTAACCATCGCTTGGACTCATTCTTGTGTTGATATTCTCCTCAGCAGTGTTGGTGGGGGCTGTGGGGTGCAAATCCTCCCCAGATCACCCGCCAAGGAGCATCTCTCCCTCCCCTAGCCAGCAGCAGCAATGGGATGGATATGTTTTCCTTTACTCCCGCCCTGAGGTAGTCTTTTTTCTCCCATGGCTCTGGACTCACTTTAGAGGTAGGGTTGTCTTACAGACAGGTGAATACTGCAGAGGAAATTGGAGGCAGATGCAGACCTGCTTTCCGAGAAAAGCTTGTCAGTGAAAGCATGAAGGTTTATGCTAGCCTGAATTAACATGCGTAAGTTGTTAATGCTATGCAATGGACGGTGGCTAGTGGTTTTTAGAAATTACTGCTGCTTTTGCAATTAATGAAGATTCATCATTCTATTAGATCATCTCTAACCTACTGTAATTGTTCTGATTTTTACTTTTTACCTTGTTCTCCAGTTCATGTCTAAATACAAGAAGATGTTTATATTGCATACATTCGGCTTTAATTGGCCCTTAAAAGAAGGTGTTGATTAGAATCTTCTCAACATCAACAGCTAGCTCGCACAACATTCTGTAATTACTGTTTATTAATTTAGTTCAAGTGGCACAGTTGAAAGCCCTGCTCAGATGGGAGAAGTAAATTGTCACTGGTATTGAATATGTAAATTATGTGCCGTGTAAGTTTCCGTGAAGAATGTTTAAAGTTAAATGCTACGCACATAAAGCCTTCCAGTTTCCTCTAATCCAACCATATGACGGCTTTGCAAAAAGTGCCATGATAATTTACCAGCCCTGGCAAAAAAAACTACTTGCCTACTCTTTACTTTTTCTTATTAACATAATCATGACAATAATAGTAATTTATTTGCTGATCAAAAAAAAAAATCATTCATGCTGGTTGGATGGAGATTTGCAAGGCTGCCAATTGAATCTGAACTACATGTTGCTGTAGTATAGACATTCAGCAGCCTGGATTTGTTGCCCTGGTGCAGTAGCCCTTCTTTCTCTTTAATTAGCTTATAAAGTCAGAATTTCTTAAACAAAGTACTCATTAAACATTGCCTTGTTACGTTACTTTAAAATGCAATTAAAAGTTTTAAGAGTGCTGCAGAGTTTGTGTACTGTTGTCAGTGTCCATGTCACTCACTATCAATTTCCACCCACTCACACAGATCAGAGACCTCCTGTTAAATATAGATGGCACTTTATGGCTTTTGTGTATAGACTAGGCACAAAAACAATATACTGATGAGGACGACCTGATTGCAAATCATACTTCAAGGAAAGAGAGGGGAATGGAAGGGAAGATATTTGAGTGGTTAGAGGAAGGAAGACCCGGGAGTCTGTGTTGTCCTCCCACCTCTGCAGTTGTCTCTCTGTGACCTTCTGTGTGGGAGTAGCTATGCGTTCCTGGTAAGTGTGCTGCTTCAAAGTCCTCCCAAACAAAGTTGCATGGAAAAACCCCACCGTT